GGGGTGTGCGATAGACTTACCTCCACTCGGTGCACCCTGGGCAACGTATACTCATACGGCAAAAAAGTCTATTAACTGGCAGTTGACTTCTCACTTCAAACTACCATCACCTCACTGTATGTTATATTCAACTACTTTCATTGTACTCATCCCACCTTTTTGCATTTTGAAACGCTCTTCTATTCCCACCCCCTTCTTGACTTTTTTCGCTTTGATGTGAAGGCTGAAGTCAACTAAAGGGCTAATGATAACTATCAAAACGCCTGCCATTTGATATAAATAAATAAATATTGCGGATAAAGTGTACACGTAGGGAGCTTAATCATGATCAGGATGGCTGATTAGGTTAAACAGAGGTTACTGATTGGCCCCTGTTTGTACGATCGCTGAACACAGGGTTGTACGGCCGCACCTCCCAATCCTGGCGTGAAGGCATGTGATGACGCAGTAAGCGATAACGTGTCCCACAAACTCAACACAATCAGAATTGCATAGTGTAAATTTTGTTTGTTTTACATATGACTCAATAAGCATTTTGTGACTCATGCACATTTTCCCTTATTGGATTATGTGCGTACACATTCACACCATGTGATTTTTACTGTAATAGTAGATACGAATTATCAAAACAGAAGAACGAATTAAGATTTTCTGTTCAGGCTTCAACTGGCAGAAGTGTTACAAAGGACCCCTGTTAATTGTTTAAATTTCGGTCCGTGGTTTAGGAAATCATAAAAAAATTCGTTGCAATGACATTGCCATGGTTACTTTGATGTTAGCGACAAGAATGCATGAATTTTCAGGCTCAACTTTGTCGTAAGCCACCAATTTAGTCTTCTCTATCCTCTAACAAGTCTTTGATAAGTGCTTTCAATTGCGGTAGAAACAAAAGTGGGTATTATTAAATTCGTTTGTGTTAACTTATGAAAGGGTAGAAGTATACTCGTTAAGAATAAAACTGTTATTCTTTTTTCAACTAAATATGCACATATTTTTTGGGGTTTTCAGGTAGCAATAATGTTCCTTACATTTTCAGTGAAATCGCAAATATATCAACAGATGAAGTAATAAAGCAACTCTATCAATCTAATGGACGTATCGAGTCTCTCGTTTAAACAGGGATTCACATACAAATAGGAAGGGAATTAGCCATTTTAGGCTGGCTTTGTCTTAAGGGCGTATTCTGGCCTAAAAAAAACTTTTCGAATTTTGTTTTTCGCATATTTTCATAGTTTAACTATTCAAGAATATACCTACGAGAGGGTTTTCCTAAATTCAAATTAGTTTCGGAGATATACGTATTTTGTTGAGCAGGCATTCAAACCGGTTGGGCTGCAAATACTCGAACAAAAGACATAATGGCTTCTGCGACTATCTGAATTTATATTTCTTAGTTAGCCATTTTGTTCCGTTATATCTATCTATCTATATACATTTTTGTATATATGAAGTGCATGCATTTGCTATCAGACGAGACAGCACTCGGATTGACCGCTCCGAGATACGAGCCTAAAGCCCATCAAAGGAGACCAGAACTGCTCGAATAGAAAACTGAGACGCCAAAAATAGTTTTTCAAAGTCAAGAAAGGTCCGATGTATGCAACAGAAATAGCAGTTTGAATAAATGCAATTAAAATATATAATTCTATGACTTAGACTACAAAATATTTTACTTGAAAGTTTAAACGCCTGTTTCTCAAAACTGTTTTGTCGAATCTGATACCCACAATTTCTCAGATTCTACCGAACCGATTTACTTGAAATTTTAAGAGAGTCTTCTTTAAAAAATTGGCTGTGTCCGGAACTACGGCCATCTAAAAATTTTAATTTTTACATTTTTTAAATAATTGAAGAATGTTCAAAAAAGAGGTGCAAAATTTTTTTTTTAGACAGTCGCCATTTCGCAAAAAAAAAATAAATAAAACTTTATCGTAGGTAAGGACATAGCAACATCATTTTAAATTGATGATCTTTTTTATTTTTTGATTTCAGATTGTTTGGAGAGTTAAAATCGAGGGTATGGTCATGCACCATATTTTTGGGACGAACCACTCTATTAGCTGATAACTAACGGAATTTTGAATTTTTTTTGTATGCTTCAATGGTGAAAAAATAATGTGTAAAAAATTGATTATAAAAATATTGCTTGCTTTTTTACAGCATTTCAAAAATGACCTAAAATTCATGTCTCTAGACCAGAATATCCCCTTAAATAGCAACGTCTATCAATAGCAACATTCAAATAAATTGTCGCGTACCATTGATTTTGCAACAGAAATTCTGTCTTTTTGAAAAATATTTCAAAATATTTAATGATTACGATTTGCACAATTTACTTACTGGTTCCAAGCATATTATTTTATTTGGTTACATGATGGTAAATTAATTAACAGGTTTGAAAAAGGAAAATAAAGAACTGGTCTCATTTTTTATTCATTTAGATGGAAAATTATCAGATTTTAGTAATTTTTCATTTTATTGAAAGTCTAGTTCAATTTGATTCTGTGTATCATTGTTCTCTCAGGTGAAATTCGTGGAAGACTGTGGAGAGAAAATTCAAGCTCTGTGAATTGTAAATCATTTATTAGGAGCTAATTCAATGCGATTCTAAGTTTGGGACTAGGGGTGTGCGATAGAATTACCTCCAAGTGGTGCACTCTGGGCATCGTATACTCATAGTGCAAAAAGGTCTATTAACCGTCGGTTAACTACTGACTTCAAACTACCATGATCCGAATCTATGTCACATTCGATCCCTTCCACAATACTCCTATTACTTTTACTCTGCCTTGGTGTATGACACTTTTAAATCAAATTATTGTGACTTTGCCTGTTCCTCCCCTCTGTGAAGTCCGGAGTCAACTGAAGGGCTAATGATAACTATCAAAACACCTGCCATTTGAAATAAATAAATACAGTTTGGGACTATTTTAAGTGCTGTACGTGGGACGATAGATAATGGTTTATTTGTAGTTATTTTAAAAAAGTCCACAATGTAGACCTCACATGGTCAAATATTGCAACTCATGGTCTAAAAATATGTCAATACTGTAATCGACACTTGTGATAGGTTGATATGTACCTGTTAAAAGAAGCATAATTAAAGCTTATTGAAAAGTGCTGCATCGATTTATGGGATGACTAGAAATAGCAGAAGACACGGCGTTCCTTTTGGGACTAAATTAGAAACCAAGAAGGTTCTCATTTATTTAATTCTCAAGTCAGCCAAAGTTGAGATATTTTTTGCAAAATACAATTCAAATGGCACCTTAAAAAACCCAATGAATCACGGTTTTAATATTAATTTTAAATTAGGACAAATGAACAACAATTTTGACAAATCTCCCACAAAAAAATATTGATATATATATATATAAAAAATAGTAAAGTATTTTAATATGAAACAAACTGCATTCAATTAGTTAATTTAACAAATAAACGCCTCATTGACTTATTGGCTCTCGTGTTGATGAATAAGAAAAAATCTCAGACTGATATAAATGGATGACACTCCTTTTCAATAAGTTAAGTAGAGATATACAATCGTTAATAAAATAATTAAACTGAATTGAAACTGTCAAAATGGACGGTTGAGTCTTATTGTCCCAAATTTAATGCAATTTATAACATGCCCTCTACTATGCCAGGCAGGAATAAATTGAGCGCCCTTGAATGACAGCTCCCTGCGTTAAATAAAACCTGCAGCCAATGTTATTATTATTTCAAATGGCAGGCTTTGTGATACTTATTATTAGCTCTTAAACTTTGCCTTCAGCTTCCCCAATGAGTGGGAGGGGGTTCATATATAGCCGTTAATTAATAACAGTTTATTAGCTGTCTTCTTGCAGCCCATATAAATTTGTACGCAACATCCATGTCCCCCGCCCCAATTAGAACAGCCACATCAAAATCTGAACAAAAACGTATAAAGTTTGAACTAATGTGACTCTAGCACTAGTAATACCACTTCCGGTATGTTTTTATAGGACCCGCAATTCAAAATTACAAATTATTTATTAGAAAATTCCTGGCTATAAGTGTGGACACATTTTCAGAATACTTACAATATACCAAGGCATATCTTTTTAAAGCTGAATTTGCTGAAGCCTATAGACCACGTGGGTGCCTGGAATTGTTTCCAAAGTTATCTTCCTCGCTTTAGAAGAGAATACGCTGAAGTTACCTTCACTATGGACGTTAAAATTTCACGCATACATTGAAGGCCTGAGATAGACTAAGAAGAACGGTATCGGTAGAGTTTTGAAACTGAATTTACTGGGACTATTCTTTTGTACCCTTGTCACAGCACTGGTCACATCAGCCCGTCAAATTATCTACTACACATTAAAAGAAATTAAATTCGTTTAAAAATCAAATCAATGTCAGCAAACCCACTGTAATTGATATGAAAAAAAGTTTTTTTAATAATTGTTGGCTTACTAATGTTCCATGAAAAATGTTAAAAATTGAAGTTTTAAACAGCATGAAAATGACTTCTAGAGAGAAATTTGAAGTAATTTATTTTAAGTCACCTTTCAAGAAATTAATCGTTTTGAATAATTTGGTCAATACTGCTCTTCTCTCTACTCCTCGCCTCCTTCCCCATCTTCCTCCTCCTCCTCAAATTCTTCTTCTTCATCTTCCTCGTCTTCATCCTCCTCGTCCTCGTCCTCGTCCTCGTCTTCATCATCTTCATCTTCATCCTCCTCGTCTTCTTCTTCCTCTCCATCGGGACGAGGAGGACAACCAGTGAAACCAAGTGTTGCATCTACCAGATCTCCGAAATTGCAAGGTCTACCCTCAGCGTCATAAGCTTTAGTAAGTAGGAAAACCACAATAAAAATCCAGCTGCAAATTCCTCTCATAATGCAATTACGTGAATTAGAAAATTCAATTTTCCACCTCAAATTTCAGGAATCAAATGTGTATATATATTTGCCGCAATGATATACCGATTTTGTGACTGCTATCTCACTGGTAATTTAAATAAAGCGTATGTTTGATTGGTAAAAATCGACTGCCAATTTCATGAAGGTAATACAATAAATTAAAAGACGAAACAACCATAAAGCAGCAGATTGATTAAGAACTATTAGGTATATAGACTTATTAAATCTTATTTGAATTAAATGAGTTTCAAAAACGAGAATACTTTCAACAATTTGAACGGTAGTCAATAATTAGAATATTAATTGCCACACTAGTGCGCAACTTGAGAATAAAACAAGGCCATCTTTTCAAGTAAATCTTAATCAGAAATGTGTACAAGAATTATGAGATAGCTGAAAGATTCTCGGTTTATTTTGTTCACGTCTTTCATCAATGTCAACTACAGATGTGTGGGAAACGTCATCGCATGCGTGTACACACAGGCTTGACGTGCGGCCGGATTGAGAGCAAGAGCACGCAGCTCAATGACCCTCGCTTGTTTTACCAAATCCGCATGTTGCAAGACTGAGTTTCCTTCCTGTGTACACTTTATCCGCAATAATCGTACTGAATGAACGTGCTCCGTGCTACACATCTGTTTCCTTTCATAGCTGGGCTATAGCTTAGCTGGTTCTGATTTCTTTATAGCTGGGCTATAGCTTAGCTGGTTCTGGGAGATCCTTTCATAGCTGGGCTATAGCTTAGCTGGTTCTGGGAGCTAGCTGTAGCTGGGGTATAGCTTAGCTGGTTCTGGGAGTCTAGCTAGATGTGGGCTATAGCTTAGTTGGTTCTGGGAGTCTAGCTAGATGAGTTTCCCTTATAGCTAGGCTATAGCTTAGCTTGTTCTGGGAGTCTAGCTAGATGTTGGAAATCTTGCCATCGAGATTTCTGAGTCAGTCAGGCTTTACTAAGGTGTTTAGCTGGTTCTGGGAGTCTAGCTAGATGTAGGAGGATCTCCCATTGAGATTTCTGAGTCAGTCAGGCTTTACTAGCGTAGCCAGAGATTTCTGAGTTAGTCAGGCTTTACTAGAGTAGCAATATTTCTGAGTCAGTCAGGCTTTACTAGCGTAGCAATCCGTGGAGCTATAGCTTAGCTGTTCTGGGAGTCTAGCTAGGTGTTGGAGAATCTGCCATAGAGATTTCGGTCAGGCTTTACTAGCGTAGCAATCCGCTACAATGCAATCCGGTCAGGCTTTACTAAGGTAGCAATCCGTTACAATTCTCAACCGGTCTGGCTTTACTAAGGTAGCAATCCGCTACAAGTCTTTAACCAAGGCTTTACGAAGGTAGCAATCCGCTACATGTTCGAGACTTAGGGAGCAATCCGCTACAAGTCTACAAAACAATATACATAACTAGCGTAGCAATCCGCTACAGATGCGATTACAGATAATTTAAAGGCAACATAAGTACTCTAAGAAAATTGAATTTATTCTATTTGCATCGAATGGGAATTATATGGCACACAAGATCTTCTTATCACTCTTAGCATCCTAATTAAATGAAGATCAGGAGAGCTTAAAGTACGCGCCTATAACACGTAAATGGAAATTATCGATTTTTTTCTCTCAGTCAAGATTTGCTTCAAAACTTAATGAAGATGCAAAAGATGACACGCACAAATATACTAGTCAAAGTGAACGAAATTAAGGCCAATAGTATGTTTGTTTTAATGAACAAACAAACAAACAATCGAGTAATTAATTCAAGTATTGAAGAACAAAGACGCTGTCTAGCAGAAGAAATATTAATTACTTGATTCAATCAACATTTGCACTCTTAAAATATGGTGACACTGGATAAACTACGAAGTGTTTCGAAGCAACAGGATAAAACGTTTTGCGTTTGTATAGATTTGACGCAATTTATAATGCACAATTCTTCAATATTGAGCCGTATAAACGGCAAAATTACACATTGTTTAAATCTTTGATCGCCAACCTCTTCAGCTTGAACATAAATAAACATATCATCATAGGATTATTCCAAAGTTTTCATTAATCCTATTCAATTTCACTGAGGCGTATCGAAAATTGAGGATTTAAATCCGGAGAGTTAAATCATTTTTCAAAAGACTTCATTGGACCTCTGTGTGGGTAGTTAATGGGACTTACAAAAGAGTGTCCATTCAAACCCCTAACTTGTTTAATTTAATGCTCATAATTTGAGCTGAGTTCTGAATAAGTGATTGGATATCTTTTGACATGTCGAAGCGCACTTTCTAGCTAAGTAATGATTGTTTTATTTGCAATTCTTAATTTATTAAACTGACAATCCAATTTTCGCTGCTTTAGGATATGAAATTATAAATTCGTAAGTAAATATGAACAATAATAGTGGCAATTTGCTATAAAATATTCGATTACCAATGAAAACATCCAATAGTTGTGGCGATAATGACCTACGAACATTTGTATAAGTTGGCAGAACAGGATATAGGGTAAAGAGTGTAAGTCTTGATGATATTTTAGAAAAGAATAGATAAATATAACCTTTTTAGAGTTAAGCTGGCCTAAAAAATGGCCGGCTTACTGGTTTGGTATAAGTTAATTTTCCTCTCATAGTTGAAGACCAAGGCACCAGTGAAGTCGTGACGAATGAATAGCAGAAATCCACTGCTCTTAAGTAACTGTTGTGGCACAGACTATAGTATTGTTAGAACCCAATTAGTGTCGTAGGGTGAATTGAATGCTAATCGGGTCTGTGAGTGATTAAGAAATTGATGCCGTTTGCTAGGGAAGTGATTTCGATTTTAATTAATTTAGTAATCGAATAGAAATATTTAATGGAGGGCAAATTAATATTCTACTAATTGTCTGCTAAAACTTCAAAATAAAATTCTAGTGTAGCTAAAAAGGTTATTAAATGCTTTTTTACCAAATTCAAAAAGAAAAAAAACGCAAAAAGTACCTAAGGAACAGGTCAATGGCCTAGTTTACGAAAACCCCGGAATGTTTTTATATTATAAAGCTTTAATTTGATCAATTTGAAAATTAAAAATTGCAATGGCCAATCCGACAAAGACAATGTAGGATGTTTGAGCAATGTCCTTCTCTACACTCGAAATAACTTAAACACTTCGGGCTTCAAAGAGGGGAGGAGGAGGAACAACAAAGTGATAAAAAGTCGAGAGGGGGCCTGGTACAGAAGAGTGATTCACAGATATAAAAAGACAGATACTTAGACAGAGAAGAGGTAAGATGAGTACTGTTATTTCCGAGATGTAACACATCAGCCTCTTCCAAATACTTACTTAATGTCCGTCTCGTGAGTGTTAACATGGTGTTTACAGTATATCAGTAACATTGTTGATATGAGTAGTAAATTGAGTTTTAGAAAATACAATTAACTGGGGATAAATCATTTAAATAAACAAATGCCAATGTTCGTTATTGAAGCAATAAATATAATAACCTAGTATTATTTTATACTTTAAATAAATATGGAAATGTTGACGTACATAATCAGTAACACAATTGTAATAAAAGTAATTGGCAGTGAAGAAATACGATTGAATAAAAAGAGCGCTTTTTTATTTTTATATCAATGGAAGGGAGCAATATTCGGTTCTATTAGTTAACTTTGATTTTAAGTAATATAACTTTATTTTCAAACATCCATTAGCATTTCCTAAAATGTTCACAAAAACGATTTTAGTGCTGCTGACTTGTAAAAAGCTATATATTCAAGTAAATTTTATCATTATAAAGGTGGTCGATATTAAGGCTCCTCACTAAGCAATCAATTTCAAGAGCTATTAATTCATTACCGCATGGCGTCTTTACCCCTAATATTCATGAGAGACAATTGCTCAATTCACACCATAAATGGAACGATTGAAAATTGTTGCATCACTTCGTAATCGGATAAATAATGCTCTAGCTGTGCAATTTGCGAATTCATGATTTGATTTGACATTTGAATTGCCATTAATATTGCCAGAAATGGGTACGAATCACCCTTACAATTGACTGTGGTCATTAATTAAATCATTACTTTGTAATCACTGTTCTATTCTCTGGATCTCCATGAATCTCTGCTGTATTAACATACATTGGCCTAGTTATAAAGGCAGCTAATTAGTGACGTGATTTGAGACGATCGTGAAAAGAGTGATGTTGAGAGGGAGAGAGAAAAGTTGCTCGCATTTATGCAATTTGAAATTTTGGATTGGTTGGCTAGTTGACAACTTGGCAGTGGGTTTTATAAAGCTGATTTTGGGAATGACAGAGGGAAGACTTGGGATCCTTAGTGCGATAGCGGCGGTAGCAAGAGTGCCAACATAAGCACCAGAGGAATCAGAAAGCTGAACAACTTGAAGGGAGGGGGAACAGCTAGGTTAGGCGGAGAACTGTATTCACCAACAGATCACTTAATCCACATTTAGGCCTCCTTAGACTTTGCATTGCTAGTTGCCCTGTTTTTTGCAAATAGTGCTGCCATTGGCATATTAATGAAATGAATGTTGGAGGAGATTTAGGGTGCAAAGGATAATTGAAATTGATTAGTGTAGAGGGGAAGAGTGGTGAAGTCTAGGAAACCTGCGCTACCATTTATTTGGGGAACCAGAAGGCAGCGTGCCTTGATATTTATTCAGTAAATATAACGTGCTAATACAGCCAATAGTTTTGGTATGTCATTTAAAATATAACCTTAAGTGTTTACTTTTAAAGGACGCAAATCTATGTATGCTCTTGATTGATACGATCTAAATCGACTATCTGCGTTAAATGTACTGAGAAATGGCTGACACACGGGCACTTCAAGCAATTTTACTTGGCCATTGACAATGTTGTCATAAGGAATAGAGAAGAACTGATTTTGACTTTCGTCGTTGTGACAATAGACAAAAGTTTCCCAAAATGCACTAAGCAGTGCTAATTTCAAAAAATGTTTTTTTTCCTGATGAAGGACACGCATTATCCTAACGTGTTGT